CATAGAAACACACCCAAAATCAACAATTGTATATTTTTTGGGTGTGTTTATAAATGGGTTTTGAGTGTGTGTAATGATGGGTTTTGGGTGTTGGGTTTTTTTATAATTTCAGCCCCCATTTTGGGTGTTTTAGTGAAACTCCCTTTACAAAAAGGGTAAATTTGTCTTTAAAATTATGAAAATGAAATGAGTGGGAAAATAGGACAGGTGGGTGGAAATAGTAGCACTCTTGATTTATTAGTTCGTATTTGAATACTTAATTGAACTTATCAATTCTTATCCAATAAGTATCAATATATGGTGGGAGGAGTCATTTTGTGAGTTTTGAGTGAGTCAATTACTAAATCTATCCAATGTTCCAACCACTCCATTTACGGTATGAACTTCGTACGAACTTGAAGTGTCCAATTTCATTCACCAATTGATTTCGGATCGAGCCCAAAACTTGGGCAACATCATAATATATAATGGGAGAAGTCATTTGGTGAGTTTTTAGTGAAATGCAATCATTAAAACTACGCAATGTTCCAACCACTCCATTTACGGTACGTGTGCCTTGATAGGTTCCAAATGCCTAATTGTATCTCATTGTATTGTTAACGAGGGGATTGTACTCATAAGGTCTTTTAAAAAACCACTTTGTCAATCTCAATATATATAGCCATATTAAAATGACAATGAAAATTTTCGAAAAATCTCAATTCTATCAATGTAACCACAAAATCTCAAGGAAAAACATATTAAAACAATGTTGGTAACATCATAAGCTAGAGACGATAATTAAATCAAGTTTCATTCAAAACCATTGATATGCAAAGGGTTTTAAATGTAAAAGATCATTGTACTTATTTCAAAACAAAAGTCCACTCACAAAAGGTCCGATGCTAAATTAATCAAAACCGGATTCCCAATTCATGATTTCCAACAGGTCAACAATAGTCATCCAACCACAACTTAACAATTTAGCCTCGATCCAACGATCAGATCTTCGTAGATAGTACAACCGGAAGACCATTGATTCGTGTAAATCGAGATAATTTGAGACATGTGAACCTTGGACTTTTGTTCTGTAAGTTTCTACACACTTCTAGCAACATCAGGAACCGCATACTAAAATTTGGATATGATCCAATGGTCCAATCATCTCTTATCAAACGGTCCGTAATAGACGAAGTATCCGATCATCGGGCAAACAATCGAATCCTTGCAAACAATAATGCTTGGGACAACTAGGACATCACACTGGGGTAAAAATAGGTCACCTCTTGTGCCCACTTGAGCCACCATGTGTTGTCACCGTCAGTGGGTAGCTTAAGCATATTTCAGCAACAACGAAATGCCACCCATGCCAAATTAAAGACAACACTGAGAGGAGCAACTTTCATATATATGCCTACGTGAATTTTCATCGAGATTGGCAGGAAAATTGATCGGAAATGACGGAGGCTGGAATCTTTCCACTGTCAATTTGTGTTCCACGGTGGTCCAATGGAGGTGTCGAAACTTGCGTTTTGTTTCTTGGAGCATGGAGAAAAAGAAACCCAACATGTCATGATGGCATTGGTGGCTAAAAATGGTCGGAATCTGGCTCGAAAGTTTTCGTTCTATGGTTGCTGGCACACCCCACTTCTCACTCAATATATATGGTGTAGGATGCCAATTTGGGTCGGATCTTTGGTTGGTTACAATGGTCGGTTGATCATGAACATTTTCTGACAAGTGAAGCAACCAATGGTGGTTGGACGATGACGTAGTGTTGTCGTGAATTATTTTTCAACGATCCAAACAATCTGTTTTTAAGTCTACATTCATAGATCATCCTTGCAAAAAAATTAGACAAATTGGAAAACATTTCGACATCCAATTCTATCCTACAAAATCAATGAACACGGTGCTTCAAGAAAATACTAAAATTTCAATATTTTAATTGAGTGGTCAAATGATATTGGATTCAAGTGATTTTTTTGTAGAGATGATCTTTGAATAAATATCTACAAAATAGACCGTTTGGATTAGTGAAATATAATACAGAGTGGGACCCACAAAGATGTCCCTCAAATAAGCTTATTTGAGAGATCCCTGAACTGAAACTCCCTATATATATAATCTAGGCATGCCATGTGGCAAACACTTGGGTTAGGGGTTTTAGGGTTCATTTTTTCTTGCCACCCTTGAACTTTAAAGCCCTGTAACTTTTATGTTTCAACTCCAACTCGAGATTTGTTTCCGCCTACGCGTTTGTTGGATGGAGCTCTACGTCCAAGTACACCTACGCGTTTGTTGGACGGAGCTCTACATCCAAGTACAAAGAAAAATCCGAAACTAGACTCCCGAAAACAAAACTTGAATTCCTAAGGGTAAAATGGTCAAAGTAGCTTGGATTTAAACAACACAAAGGAATTTCCGGGAAGGGTTGTTACACTTAAATACATTTTCAGTGTCTAAAGACTCAAGTTGCTGTTACACACCCATATAAAATTTCCAGAACTATTTTCGGTTCAAATCATCTATAACACATAGTTCATTTGCTAAGTTAACGAGATATCGGATTATAAGGTTGAAAGTCTCAATTCATATCCTATTAATTATATCAAAATTTAATTCATTGACGGTCGGTTACCGGCGGTTTTCGGTGTTTTCAGTCCAACCTCACAACCGTAGGTCAATTCATATAACTAGGCATGGACATGATTTGTTCTGGGTAGCTTTTCTGCTATACTATAAACTGAATTGTGAAGATCCATATTTTGGAAAGCATATATTATAAATATCAACAAAACATTCTTATTAAATATATGGGGCTACGTTCTTGTAATTCCCTTTTATTAATGAAATTGATGCGGCTATAAAAAAAATTTGGTTTTATTAAAGGATTCTTTTCCTTTTGTTATCTTACAACTAACCATATTTGTCTCTCCCTCCTCGACCAAAAAAGGGATACCCATCAATAATCAATTACTTGCGCTTCCTGAAATATTTGATTGGAACGGTTTGTAGGTTTTAAAAACCGAAGCTAGGCATAACTAAACTGAAGACTGCTCTGTTTAACTTTAATTCTAGTCAAAATTTGAATCAAATCGGCCAATCAGTCAGTTTTATCGGTTGACTGGTTTTTTGTCCTACCAAAAGAAATGAAATGAAAAGTACAAATGTGACAATCAAGTGGTGGAGATTATAATCCAATAGTAGCCAAATTTAAAGATAACATAAAGACACTACCAAAGGATATCCAAAACTAAGTCTTAAACGGGGAATGTTCCTTCGATCACTGTGAAATTATTCAAAAGTTATAATATCAAACTTATACAAGAACATATAATATGATCTTCTGGAGAGACCGAACAGATCAAACATAGCAGCTCTCGACTTAATAATAGCGTCCTCTAATCGCATTTTCATAAATTGCTCGGTCCAGCTGCGCCGCCGCGTTATGTTTCCGGAATATTTTTTTTGTGAAGGAAACAAAAATAAGAATATTAGTGCAACTGTGGGAGCATAATCACTGTTGAAATTGTGTCTATTTCTGTATTCTTTTTTCGGGTCAAGAAATTATCAATCAATTTATTTCTTTTTAAGCATGTTTATTCATCAATGCATAGTCATAAATAATAAGTCTCTACATGCTCTATATATTTGTTTATTATAAGAAATATTACCTGAGCAATTTGATTCAGATTCTTCTGCAGGACAGCATATTCACGGCGGATATGTTCAAGAACCATATGGCACCTAGAGAAAAATAAATAAGGCTGCTTTATAAAAGTCTAAGTGAAGCAGCTAAAATTTTCCACAAAAAATATATAAAGAAAAAACACAAAGATATATTGAAATTACCATTACTTGGTGATAATGAGAGAACAAGTTAAAAATCTTATTACCCTTCTTTGTTCTTTGCTTCACTTGCATCTCGGAGCTCGCCGCAGGCAATGGCCATCCGGCTGCAACCAAGACTGTAATTCCAAAATGCAGCAAATGGGATCAATGTTAAATATTCTTTGAGTTAATGCAACAAATTAAGACGTATATATCCATTTGGTCTCATAATACAAAATTGAAATATATTTTTTAAGATCATGATTCATGACCAATGCTATGTGCGTGTATAGTCGTGTTAGTAAACACTGCAATGACCTTGAAGAGGGGTAACTTCCCAATCTTCGCATTCCCATTCCATGTTAGTAAGCACATAGTTAAATTAAGAACATGATTTGACAAGAAATATAATTTTTAACGGTGTACAGCAGAAAAAATTTTATACACTAAAATATATCTTTTGGGTACTTTATAAGAAATTATTAGCAGCAATATGATTTGTTCTCTTTTATGTTTTTCAAGCTGATATGGTAGAGAGAGAGAGAGAGAGAGAGAGAGAGAGAGAGAGAGAGAGAGAGAGAGAGAGAGAGAGAGAGAGAGAGAGAGAGAGAGAGAGAGAGAGAGAGAGAGAGAGAGAGAGAGAGAGAGAGAGAGAGAGAGAGAGAGAGAGAGAGAGAGAGAGAGAGAGAGAGAGAGAGAGAGAGAGAGAGAGAGAGAGAGAGAGAGAGAGAGAGAGAGAGAGAGAGAGAGAGAGAGAGAGAGAGAGAGAGAGAGAGAGAGAGAGAGAGAGAGAGAGAGAGAGAGAGAGAGAGAGAGAGAGAGAGAGAGAGAGAGAGAGAGAGAGAGAGAGAGAGAGAGAGAGAGAGAGAGAGAGAGAGAGAGAGAGAGAGAGAGAGAGAGAGAGAGAGAGAGAGAGAGAGAGAGAGAGAGAGAGAGAGAGAGAGAGAGAGAGAGAGAGAGAGAGAGAGAGAGAGAGAGAGAGAGAGAGAGAGAGAGAGAGAGAGAGAGAGAGATCAAAGTAAAACGAGGAAGAAAGGCAATTGCAAAAGAGAGAAATGAAACCTCTGGCTGGAATATGTATGCATGGCAGCATGGTTATATATAGCCTACTGTACTGTGTGTTGTTTTCATGCTACATATAACATGCATATGAGTCTTTAAGTGGCATGAGCTTTGCATGTACTTTATTTCTTCATAACTTCATCATGAACTTCATGATTTTCGCTTGGCTCCTTTCTTCATGTTTTAGTGTTTGATTGTACGACGCATGCAGCCTAACTTATTTACATTTCTCTCAGTCATTTGTTTTCCCTTTTCGGTTTTATTGGGGATTGAGCTTGTGGGTTGAACTTGGGGGCTCAAACGCCTTACAGGTTAAGGTTAAACCTAATCTTCTAGCCCAACTTGTTCAATTTGGGCAATCTGACTGAGTTTAGTTGTTTAATTCTAATCAAGTTATAAATTCAAATGCTGAACCCGAACTGAGAATTCTATAGTGAATGAGGCTCTATCTCTTAATTGTTGGATCAAATTAATTAGCCATTAGATCAAATTTGTTAATTTACCAATTTGATCAAACGGTTAAGAGATAGGACCTCATCTAAGGGCCTTAGATAAGACCCTCACCGTAGAATGACTCGAGCCTAAACTAAGGGCTTCGTGTTGGGCTCGAATAACGTATCGCTATGAGCCTATAACTCAAGTAGTGATTAAAAGCATTTGTCCCTGCCTCTTAGATCTTAGGTTCGATTTCCCTCTCCCCTAATATTTTAAAAAGAAGATATTTGGATTTCATAAAAATATAAAGAAATATTTGAATGTTCGTTTGGAGGGAAGTTCCCACCAAAGTTTTCTCCTTTCGGGGTCTTTTTATAATTTCGATAGTGAAATCAGCTGATGATCCCTTTCATCGATAGTGAAAATGGGAGTAATAAAATCATCGTATACATTCAACACTCTTTTTCCCTTTATAAGATAATGACACAGCTTCTATCTCTGTCATGGTAAATACTAGAATTTTTGCTGTAAGGATTTTTTTTATCCACTAGCAGTCAAATGTATTTATAAGAGAGCAAACTTTAAGGCGATACCAAATGAACTAATGAAGTCCCAACTTTATATCACAACATAAAACAGACAGTCAGTCTCAACTATATTCGCTTCATACACCACAAAACTAGTCATAAACCGGTCTACAAAAGATACCAAGTTCCTGTAATAAACATTAGTATACAGCTACTATACCACATGATCTGATCCTCTGGAGAAAAGCTAGCAGACTGAACAAACGGCCTCTCTACTGACGGCACCTTCTGGGCTCAAACGCGCTAATTGCATGTTCCATCTGTAACCCAGTATGTTTTCAGAATAGTTTTTGAGAAAGAAAAAAAAATGTTGGATAAAAATCTGCATACTAGAGCATTTCAAATGAAGGAAAATCACCACAGAAAGTGTTCTACTAATATAGGGTTTTTGTTCTAGAAATGATCAATCCATTTTTTTCCCTTCTGCAGTCAGTAGAACAACAAAAATATGGCATCTTCATAAGGTGTTAGAAAGTCCAAAACCTCGGTTATTCTTTTGTTAGCATGTACTCTTTATTGTTTAACATACATGACCTCTGTATACATCTATATATTTGCTATAGTATGTGAAAAAAGACAAAGAAACATATCTACAAAGTAAAGCTGAGAAAGATCAAAGTTCAGAATAAGTATTACCTGAAGAATTTGATTCAGATTCTCCCGCAAGACAAGATACTCGCGTCTGACCCTGTCAAAGCCTGAAAGGGACCTGAAAGCATAACATTTTCCAAAGAAAGAGTTTCAGTAAGAAAAGGGGCATTAGGACACAGCTAAAAATTCCTTGTCATGTGGAAACATGTGTATTGTCCCAACTAGCACTAATTCCAAGGTTGTTCAATGGTATTCTTTCTCTTCACCCGAATGTTTCTGTGATATTTGAATCTGTAAGTGTTAATACCTTAAGCCGTTAAGTATTTTGCAAAGCTTCGTATAGGTAAGGCTATCTTTAAAACTTACTGTGACACATGCTAACGTCAGAGTTAGAATTTGAACCTAACCATATGTACAGAAGTCATAAACAAGGAATGATGTTCAAATTTTTGAGCAATTAATTTTATAATATCCTCATCTTTTTCTGTTCTGTACCATATACCTAGAGCATAAATCAATTGGAATTGAAGAAATGAAGAAGGCAAAAGGGAGAGAGCCTTTGATTGGATTGAAACCCTTGCTTATGTTCCTTTTGGCCTAACCTTTGTTAAAGAATTGCCTAAGAGATGAATCCTCTGAACTCTAAAGAAAGAAAGAACCTTCAAATTTTGGTGGTTGCAGAATTGTAAAATTAGCATGTTTTCCTCAAATTTGATAATACATGTGGTGCTGTAAAATATATGCTTCATCGTTAAAGCCAGCTTGGTGAAGGTAAGAGGACAGTTTTGTACCTTTCTTTGGAATATGCTTCACTTGCATCTCGAAGCTCACAACAGGCATGGGCCATCCGGCAACCACCAACACTGCAATGCCAAATGCACTGAATGGTATCAATATTCTTTTACCAAAGTAAAAGGAAAAAACAGAGAAGCATCATTTGGGCTCATATAATATGCAATACACAACTTCAGAGGGATCAAAACTGAAAATCCATAACCAATAAATATAAGTAGTAAGTAAGCCTTGTGTAGTGTCTTTGGATGCAATTTATCTTTGTCAATAATAACCATTCAATAAAAGTATGTGTACACTGGTTAGCCCCAGGTTAGAAACAGACTAGGTGGGGTATAATCAATATGGCGTCACAATAAAAAGCATTTTGAAACTTGATACGCCACGCGCTAGCATTCGCGTGGCGTTGACTACTTAAGTACTAGATTTCTGAGTAAGCACTTGCTTCCAAAAAGCATTTTGAAACTGCATACGCCACGCGCTAGCATTCGCGTGGTGTTGACTACTTCAGTACTAGATTTAAGTTAGCACTAGCTTCCAAAATGAATTTTGAAACTGCATACGCCACGCGCTAGCATTCACGTGGTGTTGACTACTTCAGTACTAGATTTAAGTTAGCACTAGCTTCCAAAATGAATTTTGAAACTGCATACGCCACGCGCTAGCATTCACGTGGTGTTGACTACTTCAGTACTAGATTTAAGTTAGCACTAGCTTCCAAAATGAATTTTGAAACTGCATACGCCACGCGCTAGCATTCACGTGGTGTTGACTACTTCAGTACTAGATTTAAGTTAGCACTAGCTTCCAAAATGAATTTTGAAACTGCATACGCCACGCGCTAGCATTCACGTGGTGTTGACTACTTCAGTACTAGATTTAAGTTAGCACTAGCTTCCAAAATGAATTTTGAAACTGCATACGCCACGCGCTAGCATATGCATGGCATTGACTACAGTACTAGTCTACTAGATTTCTTAGTTAGCACTTCCTTCCAACTTCTATGGATAAGATAATTATGTCTTCATAAATATCCAACAACTGGAAATGTTTTAAACAGTGATTGGTAACGATTAATTGCTTTCATTAATGATCCATTCCAAACGGGATCTCCATGCCATGTACATTAGCATCCAAAATGAAAGATTCCTTACCAATACCATCTTCTGAATGTTTTAAAAAGCAGAGCGCGTGAACATTCACATCTTCACTGTCGATTCCGAGTTTTATTGGATAAGATATTTGTCGCTTGCATAAATAATCCAAAACATGGAAATATTTTTTTTTACTAATGATTGGCTATGATCAATTGCTTTAGTTAATGAGTGCTTACAATTGTGATCTACATGCCACGCACATTTAAGTCCAAACTGGAAAATTCCTAACCAACAGATATCTTCTGGATATCTTAAACATGCAACACGAGTGGCATCAGTATCTTCACTAGATTTTGTAGTTATATCACTTCCAAGTATATTTTGGATAAGATATGCACACTTGCATAAAGAACCAAATTCAGAAATCTTTTAACTCATTCTTACAATAGATCGTTTCATTTAATGATCACAAACATGAAGTATATATGTCCTGCAGATTTACATCCAAATTGGAAAATTCCTAACCAACAGTATCTTCTGAATGTTTTAAACTTGCAAAGAGTCCTACGAAAAGGGTTCAGACTTTCCTTTGGATATGTAATCAACATATCATGTCATACACAATAACTGCTTGATAAGAAAATTTTAGCAATGCTTCATATAGTAAATTTGCCAAACCACACAGATGCATCACAATCATAAAAAAATTTAGTGAATTGCATGTAAGTGGGCAGAAACCTAAAAAGTAATAGGCAATATTACCTTGAGCTACTTCCTTTGAGCTGGAAGGCAATTTCTGTCACCCTAGAGTAGTTGATAAGAGGTGCACCCCTAAAATCGAATTCTCCAAAATCAGTCAGTAGAAATATACATATACATACATAATAACTATACTAAAAAAGGCAATTGCTTGAAATCATTGAAGGCATTACAGAGTTCTTAGAAGTTCTGCTATAGAACAGTCAGCGTCGCGAAGGAACATGGTTATTGCTTCCACAACTAAGCAAGGAGTGTCGCTTTCTAACTCTTTCAGTTCTTCAAAGTGGAAGTCCAGTATTCCCTGCCAGAAACATGGTGATTAATTAGTCTCTAATTTATATGACCATTCTTTGTCTGTTAAAGAAAACCAGGCAACCCAAATATTAACCCTATGATAAAGGTTGAAAAATGATCTAAAACTGAACAGAGATTATCTTAAATTACAGCAACTGACTAAATTGGGGTATGCTTGGTGGCACAGAGATAAAAGTATATTTTGTTCCCTGGAAAGATATCATCTTTCTTAGCTGCAGAGTGCAGACACGACATCATCGATATCATCTTACAAAAATTAGCAGAACCAACGCTGCCATTTTTGTTTTTCTTTCCCCCTCCCCTCCTCTATATTTCCTTCCTTTTTCACTAACCAACCTGATTGGGAGCACCAAATTCATCAGCATTACATGCCAATTAGAAACATATCTTCTTTCTGTGCTAGCAATACTCAGTGAAGAAAACCCAATTCCTTTTTACTTATCTTCCTCACAAACAAACTTATAAAACTCCTCAAATAAAACCAAAAACTAAATAAATAAAAAACCAAAACAATGATTGTATCGAAAAACAGAAAGAAGGAAGCAAAGCAAAGCAATCAAATGGGGGTGATGATGATGAGGTGACCTGCTCTCGCAAGGAGCGGATGAAGTTGTTGAGTTGTTGGGTGAGCAGAGTCGCTCCAGGCATTTTCTTTCTCCTCTGCAGGGATAAAATTGAGGAGGAGAGAGCTGCTACTGTGTCTCAGAAACCAAGCAAGGCCCCTCTCTCCTCTCTTCTGTCTCTCTCTGGGTTTTAATTAACGCGGAGGACGAACAGAGGAGAGAGAACCTTGTTTGTTCATAGAGTCACATAGGGTTTTAGTGAGAGAGGGAGGGTGGCATGATTGCCACCTGCATCATCATTTTCGCAAAATTCTAAACTGGCGGTTTCGTCCTGCTTTGGAAGTCTTACCTGCGCCTTCCGCTTCATTTGGAATCCCCATTACTCATTAGTCCTAGCGCTTACCAACGCCAACTGACTCTCTCTCTCTCTCTCTCTCTCTCTCAGATACATTTTTATGTAGCTCACGCGCCCCCCAATTCAAGTGCAGGGGCCCACAACAAGGGTTTTCCTCAAGGGCCCACAATAGTCCCTAAATTTATACACAAATTCCATTTTGGTCCTCTAATAAAAACCGCAGCCGCAGCCTTGGTCTGCCCCCACCCCTTCTGTTTAGATAAAGGATTTGAAAATTACATAGAATTCTTAAATTACAAAATTTAGATCTCTCCATTTTTGGCAATTAATAATTTCAATGTTTGGTTTATGTATGTCGAATTTTGTAAATGACATAAATTATAGTGAAAACAAATTCCTGCTCAATTGGAATTGCGAAATGACGACTTTTTTTGTTGAAATTAAACTCGGGAATCTCAATCCTCAATTTCTATGATTTTTCCCGCACAACATTTAATAAGTTCAATGCCAAACAATAAAAATATCAATTTCTTCTCTTCAATTCCTGACTTTTAGGTACTTTCATAAGATACAAAGACTAGATTTTGTTGCTTTCTTTAAATTATCAGAAAAGTTGGAAGGGAATTTTTTTTCTTTTCTTTTTTTATAATCAAAGTTAAGAAGGGAAGGGAAGGGAAGGGAAGGGGAGGGGATTACATTTCTACTTCCTCTGGTTACAAAAATGGTAGTCCTAGCTACTTTTGCATAATCCAAATATCTCATTCTAACTATATGACGTCTCATTATTATTCTGTCTAGAACCAAGTTATTATTCTGTCTATAACCAAAGTTGTCCCAGAAGCATTTCTCTTATCCAGTAGCAGTCTAATTTGTTCATAAGATAGCATATGTTAAAGACAACACCAAATTAAGTCCAAACTTGATTTCGAAACATTAAACAGACAAAAGCAGTCTCAGAGATAACAAGACACTGTGTTCACTTAACAGTACTAGTGAACTTATTGAAATACCAAATGCAACACTAAACAAGTCATGGACCGAACGAACCAGCTCAGCTGCAATAAACTTATTACATAGCCAATATAAGGAACCATCTGATCTTCTGGAGACAGCGTTCCTAGAAGGCCGAACGAACCAGCTCTTTACTCACGTCGCCTTTTGGGCATCAGCATTGATTGTGCGTTCCATCTATACTCCAGTATATTTCCCAAGTTTTTATTAGAAAAAAAAAAAACAGAAAGAGAAGTAAGAATATTAGAACATTTGCAACCGAGAAGAACCACCACAGAATGTGTTCACTAATATGGTATTTTCGTTCCAGAACATTTACCTGAAGAATGTGACTCAAACTTTCCCGCAAGACAAGATATTCACGTTTGACTGCGTCAAAGTCTGCAAGGCACCTAAAATTCATAGCATTTGGTTAAAAAGTGTTTGAAGTGGCTAAAATATTTTCTCTGATACACTATATACCTGTAGCCTTTTAGATCTATGATATTCAATACCCTATGTTCTAAATATATTGCAAAGCTATATAGGCAGTGTTATTAAGAACTCTTAACCTGGCACATGCTAGACCAGAGTTAAAATTTGAATCTAATCATCCTACCGTAAACATGGAATGATGTTCAACTTTTTTAGCATAGTTAGTTCTTATAAATAACCACTTCCTTTTCTATTATGTACCATTTACCTAGATCATCCCTCAAATGAATTCAAGATAATGTGATGTTTTGCGAAGAGAATGTTGAAGGGAGATATTCTTAAGCATTTAAAACCCCTGCTTATTTTTGCCACAGAATTGTCTCCCACAGACTGCCTTATGTTTCCTCCACGACGATGAGGAGCTAAAAGATTCTATTGCTCTAGCATTATAATTCTGAAAAATAAATCATTTGGAAGTTTACAGTTGTGGAATTGTGAAACTAACATGTTTTCCACAATATTGATAGCATAATGTATGCCATAAAATATATGAAATATACCTGACTGTATGATGTGGACACATGTTATTCCATTGTTAGCAGCTTGATGATGAGAGAAAAAATTCTTACCTTTGTTTGTTTTTCGCATTACTTGCTTGTCGGAGCTCTACACAAGCAGTGGCCACCCGGCAACCACCAACACTGTAATTCCAAATGCAGCAAATGGATCATTATTCCCTTACCAGAGTAAAAGGGTGTACAAAGAAGCATATTTGCATCCTTCGAAGCTCATAAAGATACAAGATGCAGAAAAAGCTGAGCATTTGTAATAAAGAAATTATCTATAGATGGCAGTAATATTTTCTACAACAGGAAATAAACTCTACCCCCAGCAGCCTTTGCCTTTTCCTCTGTCACATTTAAAACTTGACTAGCAATTTTTCTCTTGTTAATTTTGCTGTTTAATTAAAGTTTGTGTACGCTTTTTGACACCCGATTAGAAACAGACTAAATGTGCAGTCTCAATAAAAGACATTTCAAGACTCAAAAATCGAAACTTGAATTCAACTATAGCTTGAAGGAAATAATTCCTCAAAGGCCCAAAATCATAAACTTATAGAAACACTAAGATATAGAATTTAAGAGTATTTTTGAGGTCAGTAATGAGATCCCTAGAATTATCTGTTGGCAATGAGCCAGCACTTTCAACATTCAATGTGATAGGTGCTACCATAGATTCAGGCAGGGCAGGGTCCAAGTGATTTTCCAGATAGAACATATGATGACAGGGAATTGGTTATTGAATGGAAGTAATGTACTGGATTAGACAGCAGAGTAGTGGCAACCGCCCTATTTCTCTGTTTGCACACTTTTTCCCCCAATTTACGGACAGGGTAGAAAGAGATGAGCAATGCCTAGGTTGTGACAATCTGATCTAAGCTTTTCATTTAGTTGGATGAATCCTATGAATCTGCATATGCCACGCATGAGCGTGGATAAATCAAGTGAAACATCATCTGTCACGCAGTAGCATGGGCGTACCATTGACTTCTACATCATCTGTCACGCGTTAGCACCTTACTACTCAAATTTTTTTGGACATGCCTTCATAAAAAACCAAAAATGGAAAATCTTTTGACTAATTATTGCTTACTGTCGATTTTGTTTAGTTAATGATTGCTTACAACTTGATCTCCATACCATGTTCATTTACGTCCAAATCAAAAAATTCCTAGTCAACGCTATCTTCCAAATGTTTTAACGCGTAGCTCGCAGCGCGTGACGCTGACATCTTTAGTTAATGATTGCTTACAAATGTGATCTACATGTACTTTTACACCCGTTTTGGAAAGTTCCTAACCAACAATACATCTTCTAAATGTTTAAACCTATGCAACAAATACTACACCCATACTTATAAGTCTACGTAAAATAAAATATCTAAAGAATTTCTTCTGGATATGTAACCAGAATCTCATGTCATGCAGAAAAATATCTTGGTAATAAAATCTTAGCAATGGTTGTTTGTTCCTTGATATTATTTTGGCCTTACCAGACATGCATAACAATCATAAAATATTTTGAGTGAGTTGTATGCAACCTAAACGTGATTGGCAATGTTACCTGGAGCCAATTCCCTTGAGCTTGTGGGCAAGATCTGCCACCTTAGGATAGTTGATATCACGTTCTCTCCTAAAATCAAATTCTCCAAAACCAGTCAATATATATGTAATAATAATTAATTAATACTAAAAAACCAATTACTTGAAAGCTCTGAAGAAAATTACAGATTTCTTGTGAGTTCTTCTATCCCAACGTCGCCATCGCGAAGAACCAGGGTAATCACTTCCATAACCAGACCAGGAGTTTCATTTTCTAACTCTTTCATTTGATTAAAGCGGTGGTCCAAAATGCCCTGCCAGAAACATGGTGATTAGTTAGTCTGTAATTTATGTGATCATTCTTTGTCTGTGAAGAAAAGAAAAAAAAGATATGACACCTAAACAGAGATTATCTGAAAATTTCATAATTAAAATCAGATATATATAAGAAATTAGCATTTTTTCTGTTTATTTTGTGGCACAGAATATAAAGTTTATTTGTTCCTTGGCTCTTCTTTGTTTTATCTTTCCTCTCTAAACTAATCACATTCCTTTCCCATCAACCAAACAGATTTGTAACACTCGACCTTATCAGCATTACATGCCAATCAATCAAAAACATGTTCATTTTTTGCTAGGAGTGAATGAAGTCTACACTAGAGTTTAACCAAATAACCCCATTATTTCTAAATGAATCGTCTTTGAGAAATAAAAATATATATAAAATCCAAATAGGAGCTTAAAAAGAAATTTAAAAAACAACCCAAATTAAACAAGCATATTGAAAAAAAGGGAGAAAAAAAGCAATAAATTAATTAAAGATGAAGTGAGTTCTCACCTGCTCACGCAAGGAGCTGATGAAGCTCTTGAGCTGCTGCTCCAGTCTTGTCCCAGACATTTCTTCCTTCCCAGAGAGAGAGAGATAGCGATGAAGTGGAGTGTCTGAGAAACCAAAGGCTAATCTGCTCTGGCTTTATAGAAACTCTGGTCTGACTGAGAGTGAGTTTTGAGTGTTGGTTTGCATGTAAACTTGTTTATGAGTGCAGACTGCAGAGTGGGAAGAGAGAGAGAGAGAGAGAGAGAGAGAGATTTGTTGGTTCATAGGGTTTTTAGTGGAGAGGGTGGCATGGTATTCATGATTGCCAACTCAACTCCATCATATTTTCACAACAATCTAAACTGGCGGTTTCCTTCTCCTGCTTTGGCTGTGTTGCCTTACCTGCACCTTTTGCTTCATCCCATTAACTCCTCCTACATGCACCTTTTCCGCTTATGTAAGACAGTTCTGCTGTGACAGATTGATGTTGCCCACCCGCGCCTATGAAGCACACTTGTAACACGCGCTGTTCCAAACCCAGGCCAATGCCAAAGGATTTTTCTTTTAATCAATTTTGTTTTTTTTTCTTTTCTCTTTCCGATTCTACCCTTACCCTACCTTAATTTCTTTTTACTTCAGTTTTATATTATTTCTTCTTCTTTATATTTAATTTCCAACTTGCAATCCATTAATTTTTTTTTTTTTCCCTTTAATCAAGTAAGAAATAATTAACACTACATATTTGTCTAAGCAAAATTATATGATCCACTTGCTGCAAAAACTCATGCCTGGGAATAAACCTTTCAGCCATAGTTTTTTTTTTTTTTTTTTAAATATTTAAAGGAAACAAATTTTAAGAATAAATTTTAAGGAAAAAGACAATAAAATACAGAGATGCCCAAGGTGGTAGGCTCCTCCAAGGGGTCGCACCAACAGCACACCACCACATCTTCAGCCATTTCCATGGCTTCCAAGACCCATGGTGGCTCCGTCATTGCCCATTACCCAACACAGATACTTACCCAAAAACAAAAACAAAACATGATCATAAACTCTCAAGAATTTTCCCATTCTTGTATTGACAACCCAAAGTTCCACTCCTGCCTAGAAAAATGCCTATTAAGCATAATATCTTAGTAAGAAACACTACTAATAATTGATAATGTTATATTAAGTAAGAAATTAAACGTACCATGCATAATATATCTTGAGAATTAGAAGGATTACTAAAAGTTCATTCCACTCAAATCACTGCTGTCCATCATGTCTAAAGAAAAAGAAAAAATATAAAAGTGAAGTAAAAAGAAATTAATGTAAGGTAAGAGTACAATAGGAACAAGAAAGAACAAAAAAAAAATATTGATTAAAAAGTACTAAAAAACAAAAGGGGTTGTAGGTGGAGAAAAAGGGAGTGGGAAAATCAGCTCCCCTTGTATATTACAAGGATAGTATTCTCCTGCTTTGGCTGTGTTGCCTTACCTGCACCTTTTGCTTCATCCCATTAACTCCTCCTACATGCACCTTTTCCGCTTATGTAAGACAGTTCTGCTGTGACAGATTGATGTTGCCCACCCGCGCCTATGAAGCACACTTGTAACACGCGCTGTTCCAAACCCAGGCCAATGCCAAAGGATTTTTCTTTTAATCAATTTTGTTTTTTTTTCTTTTCTCTTTCCGATTCTACCCTTACCCTACCTTAATTTCTTTTTACTTCAGTTTTATATTATTTCTTCTTCTTTATATTTAATTTCCAACTTGCAATCCATTAATTTTTTTTTTTTTCCCTTTAATCAAGTAAGAAATAATTAACACTACATATTTGTCTAAGCAAAATTATATGATCCACTTGCTGCAAAAACTCATGCCTGGGAATAAACCTTTCAGCCATAGTTTTTTTTTTTTTTTTTTAAATATTTAAAGGAAACAAATTTTAAGAATAAATTTTAAGGAAAAAGACAATAAAATACAGAGATGCCCAAGGTGGTAGGCTCCTCCAAGGGGTCGCACCAACAGCACACCACCACATCTTCAGCCATTTCCATGGCTTCCAAGACCCATGGTGGCTCCGTCATTGCCCATTACCCAACACAGATACTTACCCAAAAACAAAAACAAAACATGATCATAAACTCTCAAGAATTTTCCCATTCTTGTATTGACAACCCAAAGTTCCACTCCTGCCTAGAAAAATGCCTATTAAGCATAATATCTTAGTAAGAAACACTACTAATAATTGATAATGTTATATTAAGTAAGAAATTAAACGTACCATGCATAATATATCTTGAGAATTAGAAGGATTACTAAAAGTTCATTCCACTCAAATCACTGCTGTCCATCATGTCTAAAGAAAAAGAAAAAATATAAAAGTGAAGTAAAAAGAAATTAATGTAAGGTAAGAGTACAATAGGAACAAGAAAGAACAAAAAAAAAAATATTGATTAAAAAGTATTAAAAAACGAAAGGGGTTGTAGGTGGAGAAAAGGGGAGTGGGAAAATCAACTCCCCTTGTATATTACGAGGATAGTATTGTTTTACTATTCTCAACCAATCACATTTTGCCACGTGTAATAAGAATTCCACATGACGGAGTGGATGGAGATAGCATCAATTAAGTTAAATATATCATGCGTGATCTTGGAACTCCACTACCTTAGATATATAATGGGTTTTTTTTATATACAAGCAAATATTAGGGGAGGAGAATTTGAACACAGAATCTCTTGCAAGGTTAATTATTGGTAATCACTTAAGCTTCATGCCTCTTGCTTATCGTTTCCCCTTAGATTTTGGCAAATTACCAAACTAATGTAAGAAATTTTGAAGAATGTAAAAAAACTACATCGAAAACTTGCCACGTGTAATAAGAATTCCACATGACGGAGCGTGATTGGATGGAGATAGCATCAATTAAGTTAAATATATCATGCGTGATCTTGGAACTCCACTACCTTAGATATATAATGGTTTTTTTTTTTATACAAGCAAATATTAGGGGAGGAGAATTTGAACACAGAATCTCGAGTGCAAGGTTAATTATTGGTAATCACTTAAGCTTCATGCCTCTTGCGTATCGTTTCCCCTTAGATTTTGGCAATTTACCAAACTAATGTAAGAAATTTTGAAGAATGTAAAAAAACTACATCGAAAACTTAACAAAATAAAGTACAACATATAAGTGAGTCTCTAAAATTTACATAAATCTAAAGAATTATTTTAACTCTCCAGTGTAGAGGACATGCTTTTTAACCCCTGATTGAAATTGCAACGAACTCCTAAAAAAGAATTTGCCTGTGGCATTCTTCTAGAAAACTATTGATCTTCCAATCAGTTCAAAACATATTTTGATAATGTTCTAGTCCTCTGATATTTTTCTGAATGAAGACAGCTTTGGATGAAATAAAAAGAGATATTTAGTCATATACTCATTCTTAGCACTAAAACTATAAATAAACCCTACATCATTTAATTTCTATAAACAAACCCAAAAAATAATAGCTGGCTCTATTGAATTTAATTTTTATTATTAAATTACTTTGATGCCCTATTGAGTGTTTTGGGCTTTTTTATGAGGTTTTGGGGTTAGGTTTGTTTTAAGAAATTAATGTCAGTTGTGTAATTTAAAAGAAGTTAAAAGCATTTTGTTATGTTGTAAATGAGCTTTGAGTGTTTTTTAAAAGTCTATTTCACATAAGATTTTTTTATAATTTGGACTCCTATATTGGGCATAATAGTAAATCTCCCAAATAAAAATTCAAACTGGCTTTGTAAATTCATATCCAGACTATCAAATTCATTGCAACAAGATCTAAAGGGTACGAAAATGAAAACACTTAAAACAACGCCACAGGATCACTTCAAAAAATAGTGTCTTGATTAAGAGAAGTACTTGCTTGAAATTTGAGAGGGGATTTGAATGCATTTGTTTGGGTCCTGGACCGTCCAGTAAAGTTTTTCTATTTTTTCTAATTTGTTTTCAGTTTTTATTTTATTTTTCATTTTTAAAGTTAATTTATTAGTTCTTTTAATATTATTTAAAATGCTTTTTTCTTTTTTTCTTCTTTTTTTTTCTTTTTTTTTCTTTTTGTCTATGCGGCGCAGTTTACACATAAAGCAAAAAAGTGAGAACCAGCTACACTAAATTTAACAGATTATTTGACAGAGTTGACGGAAATAAGCAAAGCGTGACACAAAAATAAAAAAAATTTGGTCATAAGCTAAGCGTGACACAAAAATAAAGTTCACAGAATAAAGGAAAACAAAGTGGGTTTGGGGAGCCAATGTGAGATTAGGGGAAAAAATAATAATTAAGCTTACAGTAACAAAAAAAAAAAATACAGTCGCTGATTCAAGACCCCTAACAGACTGAGCTTAGCAAACACAAGGTGTGCATGTCCAAGGGAGCATAGCCTTTGAGTTGACAGAAATCAACAATCTACAAAGGATGAAACTTCAAATTGGCTAAAATCACTCCAAAAACAAGGGTTAACAAGGAACACAGCAGCAACTAATCAAACTTCAGAATAAGTGAAGTTACAAGCAACCAAGTAGAAGAATGTTTTTCCGACTTGGAAGCAATCCCACATAATACATGCTCAACTTCTTCATGATTGATAGGCGATCGTACCAAAACATAGACCATATAAAGGTTCTTTTCTTTTCCCCCCTGAACAAGTAAAAACTTGCTAAGTAATCCCAGTAAAAAACACCATTTGCAGCAGTAAAAACAAGTAAACAAACGGCCCACCCTTATATTAAGAGTGTTTGCATAAGGCAGCCAAAAATAACCAGAGGGTGAGCACAGATGAAAAATGGATATTAAAACAAGGCTTTACCTGAGTGCAATCTTTTACAGGCAAGGTTCAACAAAACGACCGCCAACCATTTTCCAACGGAACATCATCAGAAGGGAGAATCTTAAGACTTAGGGACAGTAACATTTAGAATTTTCACATCTACTTGGGGCCTGTCTCCCCTGTCTGTCTTCACTTTCTCTATAGCCTGCCAACAGTAAGATTATCAGATGCTAGTCACACTGGGGTACGTCATACTAGCCATGAATGAGGAGTTAAGGTACAGACCGCTATCATTGTAATAGTGACATATTCAATAAATATTTTCCAGGCATTTTAAAAGAAAGGACTGCACATGCAGATGAAAAACATGGAAGTTACAGCTCAACAATACCTGTACGACATCCATTCCCTTGATAACTCTGCCAAAAACTGTGTGCTTGTTGTCAAGCCAAGGAGTAGCCACCGTGGTGATAAAAAATTGAGATCCATTTGTGTTCTCTCCCGCATTTGCCATCGATACAGTGAAAGGCCTGTCATGTCGTAAACTGCAGGAACACAGACATTTCAGCCAAAGAATTATAATAACAAGAAAGCAGAAATTTTGACTTCATTACTATCTCATGTAATGCTATAATTCTGTCTATGAATATAGCTATAATTCTGTCTATGAATATAGCTATAATTACCTTTTGTGAAACTCGTCTTCAAACTCCCTTCCCCAAATAGATTGCCCACCAGTACCATCTCCTAAAGGATCTCCTGTTTGTATCATGAAACCTTTGATCACTCGATGAAATATGAGGTTATCATAATAGCCATTCCGGCAGTGTGTTGTGAAGTTCTCCACAGTTTTAGGGCATTCCTCTGGATACAATTTCATGTGTACGTCACCCATCGTAGTATGCAAAATCTGGAAAAATAATAATAAGAGAGGAGAAGGAAAAGTTAGGCACCTATGACAAACCAGAAAGCGTGAATTTATTCATTTTATACAAGGTTAAAAAAAACAGTGATGTATATACTTTTTACTTAAAATAATTGACAAAGATGGAAAACTCACATATCTAGAAAAGATAACAGGACACAAAATTGCCCTTCCACTAATAATTCAGGTATTTTGTTCATCTACTTAGTAATTACATTCTAGCTCAAAAAATAATATAAAATTGAACCATTAAAAAAAAAAAAACGCATGTTGAAATGTACAGCTAGAATTTCACCTTGATTTTTTTAAGTGGACAAAAATAATGCTCCTCTTTTGAAGAGGAAAGTTTTTCGAAATCAGTAATATGTAGTTTTCTTTTGAAATGCATAATGTGTACTTATTGAGAATGCATTCAATAACACTCCTTGCATTACTTATTTCAAAAAACTTTCCCCTTCAAAAAAGGAGCATTATTTTTGTCCACTTAGAAAATCAAGGTGAAATTCTAGCTGTACATTTCAACATGCGTTTTCTTTAGTAGTAATAAGTAATGTGTCAATAAATGTGTAATGAGTCAAGAAATGCGTTTTCTAGTAGTAATAAGTAATGTGTCATTCTCAATATGTAATGTGCAGTTTTGAAATGCATTGTTGATTCCTTATTGTATGTCTTGCAAAAGAACAGAACCAAATAAGTCTGATATTATCCTCTCCTTTTATTTTTCCTTCTTTTTCTAAATTGAGAATGACATCATGTCAAGAAACAGGGGGAAAATCAAATATGCATAGTAAAAAACACATGCAAAACCCATCTTTCCACTTTTCTTTCTATCCTTTTACTCTCCCCTTCTCTTTATAATTCGAGGACAACAGCATAGTAAGAAAAGAGAACAAAAAGGACTTTACCAAGTTCTTTTCTTATGATTTTACTAGCCTCTCCGCACGCGCTTCCGCGCCTGCGAGAGGCTTTTTTTTTTAATTTTAAAATTTATTTTAGAATTAAAAAATATAATGGGTAGTTGTGTTCCATAAAAAGGGGATCCATTATTTGATTTTTCTTTTAATTTTAAATTTTTTTAATATGAAAAAGTGTGAATTTCCCATATTATCCTCATTTAATTAATAATTTCAATTCTTAATGTTTGCATTAACCAATGATATTTTCTGGTATTTTGAATGTTTCACCATTCTCTGCCTTTTGCTTTATGCTTTATATATATAGATTATGCAGTGTTCCATTTTAATTTTAATTTTATAAATTTCACTAGATTATAAGAAACTCAAGCTTTATTCTTTACAAAATTACGAAAAATGGATGAGAAAAGCATCACATCCAAGATACTCAAGATTAAGTAAACTCACCACATTGTCAGGAAGAGATGTTGTGACTGATTTGCCAATATCTGATGCAGCCAAGAGTTCATCAGCAGGAGGCTTTTCATTGAATATATCTCTTCCCTTAGTTGCATCTTCAGGCTCCTCTGGTTCTCTCTGACTGATCAGAACTCAAAGAAGTCAGATCGGACCAATAAAAAAATGTAGAATCACAATGAACCAACTCCATCATATAAAGTAGTCAACTGTAAAGGTCATCTTGATATTACTGAGGTAAAATATCACATTAAAGAGAAAAATATGCATCCCACAGTAGCTACATAAACACATCAATCAAATGATCCTAAATCATAACCCAATTTCTTCATTCTTAAGACTTCTACCATCATCATGATTTCTACCAAGCACAAATCTAGGCTACAAAAATTCAGCCATGTAATAATGTGCGGCGAATAATAACTTGGGCATCTGATCATCATCAGCCATGAAATAATATGCTAACAGCTAAATTGTTGAAGATTGTAAAAATACCAATTGGAAACTTGAAAAAATATAATATAATATATAAGTGTGTGGTTCCACTACTATTAACATTGAGGCCTTTTGTATAAAGCCCCATACATGCCAGACTATACAGGTGATTAAGTTAGGGACCGTATCAGTGTTAGACCAATTAGTAGTGGGTTGCTGGTCCATCACTCTGAAATCTTAACATAAATAAGCCAAAAATACATGCTTAAAAGAAAACACCAATCCCACACAAGTGTCCTACAAGTTTTTGTAAGTATTTAGTACCTGAACAGATAGATTCTATGCTTCTTGAAAGCACAACATATGAGAGTGGGATCCGTCAAAGGCTCTTTGCTTTCATTCACATTTGCTGCAGCTGCGGGAATTTTTCTGACTTTTTTACTGCTTCTGTCACCTTGATATAGGGCAATTCTCAAAAACCTATCATTATTTTCCACTTTTCCAAGAATTCGGGCAACTTTATTAGTGTGTAAATTTACCACCTAGAAATTCGCAACAAAATCAAAAGGATGAATTAGTTTTTATTTTTAATTTTAAGACGAAGAAGTAAGAGGGAGGTGATGGGGTGTAGTGCAACCTAATTACATGACAGTATTATCTTACTTTTATCCCAAGGAGAGTCGCATATATGAGAAAATTTGAGCTTTCATCAAAAACTGCATTTGGCTGTGGGGCAGATTCTGTTTTCTCAATTTCCTTCTCAACAGCCATTCTTCGCCCAAAGTCAATAGCTTCCAGTTGGTACAAAGGTACATCACTTCTTTGGAGATCTTGGGCCACCTAATCAGCACAAGATACTTGATCAATAACAGTGTCTAAAAACCAAATTATTTTTCAAAAACATGAAAAACTAAAATAATTAAAAAAAAACAATCAATGTAACAAATTGACATTACCTCAAGAGATTCATCATAGACTCGTCGCAATTTACCCGTGCTAAACCAAAACACACGTATCCTGCGATCAGGCGATGTAATTGAAAACTGCTTACCATCCGGGCTAATCTGAAGAGCCAAAAAAGTATTTTAACAAAAATGAAAGAAAACAATAGACAAGTTTAAGCTTTCTCTAATCATGCAAATAGAATGAGTTCATCATGAGAATTTAAAGCTTGAAAGAGTCAAAAATCAACTTCTAGGTGTAAATGCTTATGAGATGGATTGCATATGGTACCTCAATAGAAGAAACAGTAGTTTTGCATTTCAAGAATTCAAAAAGACTGGTGTCACTTTTCACTCTAAACTTCACCCTGCAAGCACCACATGAAAGCACTACAGTTACACATCCATGTCTATTAGGAAGTGGACAAATTAAATACCTGATAGTGATCCATTCAAGAATATAACTAATCAGATTGGTGTTATTTTTATGCTAATGAGATGAAAGAGAACAGAGCACAAAACCATGCAAGCAAAAAATAATCACCACCAATGTCCTGAACAGCAGCACATGTTGAATGTGCACAAGTAGTCTCTACTCTCTAAAAAGATGTGCTCAGTTATATTCGGCTATGATAAAAGTAATCAATAATTGGTAAATTTATCTGCTCTGACTGCAACTATAGATCTTTAGTGTTACCCAATTTTCTAACCAATCCAAGCTACACAGAAATTTCGAGTGCTGCTGCCAAATATCATATGAACCTCCCTCGTATAGTTTTCCTTATAAAAGTTGATGTATTTCTATAGATTATCTATAACATGGTGATAAAGGACAATTATTTTATTAACATGCCAAAGAGCACATACCCATCCTCTGGAAACTCAAGCGTAGCAGGACTCCAATACTCAATTATTCCCTGTTGATCAGCTGATATCACTGTATCAAATACAGGATTATACCTCATAACTTTCACTGGGCCCAAGTGTATCTGAGGAATGGAATATAAAAAATAAAATTGGGGGTTCAACTTATTTAACCTACGTACATATTTTTCTAATACACAATAGAACTTTGCAGGGAAAAAAAGGCCCCTTCCAACGCTGCAACATACCTCTCGAGAGATTATAGGTTCATTTGTACCAGCTCGTGCATCAAAAATGTGTACAAATGACGAGTTTCTATCACTGATGGCAAGCCTGGCTTTGACATCCCCTTGTTTGTAGACCCACTCAACAGCACCAGGAACAAAACGTGTTCGAATCATGACCATCATATCATAATTGACTACATCATATATCTTCACAGAGTGGTCATTTGAAATTGTACAGCAAAGCAAACCATCAACACTAACCTGCATAGCTGAACAAGTCATGGTTGATGACTGCAATAACAGGATGATTTGACAACTATATACAAAACACACAAACATATAGGTGTGCAAAAAGGTAGGTTGCCTCGCCCAAACAAATAGGTGTGCAATAAACTGAATCAATACAAAACACCGAAATATCCTCACATATCAACACACACATGTTGAGATGTATCTCTTGTATATGCCATGAACATTAGGAACAACACGACACATTTGCAAGTCCACTATATATGAAGAACTAAACATTAGTTATGGACACACATTTTCAACATCTTCAGGCCTCGTTTGGTGGCTCGACCTGCAATGGACTATTCAATTAAATTGGACTAATCTCCTGGCTGTGAACTTATACATCCTGGGAGTGGACTTATAAATTGGACAACAGTCCAACATATTGTGTCTTACAAGTCACATTTAGAGGGATGGGACTCATAAGGACAGGCTTGGACTCAATTCCAATACAGTCCCGGCCGAGCCACCAAACAAGGCCTCAGGGTCCAAAATTAGAGGACACAACATCAAAAGTCATTTTATTTAGCACAAAAACTATCAATGAAAAATAAAATTGGATTCAGCATCCAAGGAATAAATGGATGACCACTATTTTGCTACACTGTAAACTGTACATACAGAGCTTGTACGTGTGACAACACATCCCCTATCAAGCAGGATTAGAAATAGATAAACCATACCTTATCAATTAAGAGAGCTAGCATTTCAGCTAACTTTGATTGATGCAACCTATTCACGTATTCAGGTCTTATGTCGCAGAAAATTCAGAAATCCCAAGTTGCAGCCACAAACTACAACAGGAGATCTATATTCAACTTTTATGTGTTCCAATTAGTGCCGACATTCAGAATAAAAAGAATTCAGAATCAAGGCAGGAATCTATATGGAAGTAAGATTCCACAGCATATGCATTCAGTTCTATAAGGACAAACTAGGTTTGATTCCATGTCCAGAATCATCCCATTTTGTATTTAGTACCAAAGCAGTAATCAATCTAAAAGTAACATAGGGCATTGGTACACATGTAGTAATGTAAGAAGGAAGAACTCACAGCTAGGCCTTCAATTGGACCCAGGTGGGACCTAAAATGCTTTGCAAACTCAATGCCAATAGCCTTCTTCTTCCAAAACTTCAAATGCCCTGGTGACAAAAGATGAAACAAGTGAGAAATAATGGAGTCATACTCATTTAAGCAAATTACGAACTGAAGACAACCAAAATTATCTGTATCAAAATGCCCTAGGAGTAATATGCGTCAAGTTTCCAGTGTGGGGCAGTATTATAAATCAGATTGCATCTAGTTACAGGGAAATAAATATAAATTCAGATTGGAGCTTCACTGCAATACTATTCTTGTGGCAGAAGGAAACTTATATGCATCGCACACTTAGGAAAGTCGGAAACTACATTCCATGATACTTCAGCATGTCACTATTGACATAATATGCTAGCTATGCAAACCCTATTTGACTGAAACACACACTTCTTCTACAATGCATTGCTTTCATTCCACTTTATAAATAAATTAATTAATTAAATGACCTAATATAGATAGGAGTAGAAATAGGCTAATGCATCTTCTTTCCCTTCTTATAGAGACATATATATACTAGTAGAACATATGCAAAACTCCTTATAGTAGCCACATGCTCACCAATGTGAATGCAGTCAGTAACGATGTTACTAGTATGGTTTGTATATATTCTGCATTAACACAACCGTAATAAATTGGAAAATATCCCAGAATACTAAAACCTTGGGAAAGCAAAGAACTTCCTGATAGAATCTCAACAAGCCATTCCAAAATTTACGTATGACACATAGCTATTAGCCAATTCATTATTTTAAACTATGCAACAAATGAAAAAGTAGCAAATAACATGCACAATACAGAGGGCAGACTAAGAAGCGATTTCAGGACTTGCAAAAACAATATCTTAGAAGTTAGTATTATTACCATCAACACTTCCAGTTACAACAAATTCCGCCGAAGACACAGCAACATGTGTAACCACGTCACGGTGCATATAACTTTTCTCATACCTGTTTGTCACGCCAGAAAAATAAACATGAGTTTAAAGGAAAAGAAATACAGATAAAACATGGGATTTCTTAATTGACATGAGCTGAGTTTCTTAGGGTTTAGGGGGTTTAGGGACTGTATGGAGCCAAATCAAAGCAAGTACATTTTCTAACCTATATGCTGAAACTAAAACAGAATTTTCTATCTACAATCACTGAAATTCCAAACTGAAATTTAGGGGGTTTAGGGATTGTATGGAGCCAAATCAAAGCAAGTACATTTTCTAACCTATATGCTGAAACTAAAACAGAATTTTCTATCTACAATCACTAAAATTTCAAACTGAAACTACAATTTGGACCTAAAAAACAATCCATAAACTCATATAGAGGACTAAAATCAACGCATACATTTGAGCTGAGGGAAGGGCGTCGAGGTAGGCATGCTCGAACTGGAGAGGCCGCTTGGGCCGAGAGCGAGGGGCTGGGCCCGGACCCACCAGGGGCTCCTCCTCGCTCTCCGCTACGGCAGAGCTTGCGTTGCCGCTCTGAGGCTCCACCGCGTCTGTTGCTACGTGCTTTCCGTTCTGGGGTTCCTCTACGTCTGTTGCTAGGGTTTTTCCGTTCTCAGTTTCCCCCATGTTTGCTTGCTCCTAGGGTTTTTTGCTCGAGACGAAAGACTGCAATCACACTGAAACAGTAGAGCTTCAAAGGACGAAGCTTTGAATTGTTCGCGTGAAAATCAGGCTTTTCGCAATTGGCTCGAATCTGTGAAAAGAAGAAAGCTTTCGAAATTGGCCGAACCGGGCAGCGAACCAGATTGTTTCCGGTTCAATGACTACAGCACATATTCTATTGGGCCTGTGGTCTGGTTTAGCTAAAGAGTGGGCCTACCTTGTTTAATCCTTTACTTGGTTGGAAGAATTGGGCCTTTTTATGTTTATAAAGTGTTTTGAGTGTTGGGTATTTTTATAATTTCAGCCCCCATTTTGGGTATTTTAGTGAAACTCCCAAAAAAAAAGCTTAACTCTCTAACCTACATCGAAAGTTCGGTCTCGTCACTTATGAGTAATTTTTACATACAACCATTTATGTATAATTATGTGTCTTCGGCTCCCTTCCAAGTCAAATCTTAACTCTACGCTTTAGTCTTGATTCCCTTGAGTCTATGAGAAGTCCTCGTTCGCATATGCGGTGACTAAAATGCTCGTGATATAAGATTACAAGTTGTGACTTAAAAACAATCCTAAAATCTACACAATTTTGTATTCATATTATTACTCAAAAATTACTAAACTTCAAACATTTTGTGTTGTTTTTTTTATTTTTATACAAGTGATATTTGAAACAGGAATGAATCGAACTTAGAACCTCAGGTGCATAGGTAAGTGCATAGGTAAATGCTCTTAATCATTTGAGTTACAAGCCTCTTTCTATTTCAATATTATTTTTTTTTGGAAAACTAATTAATGTGATACTAGCAAAGTCAAATTCCAAACTAAATTATTATTTTTTTAATGGTGTAAAAAAGGAGTACAGTTAAGATGTCATTTTCCAATCGAGTGTTACTTTTTTACTTTGATCACATCTCTCATCAGCTAATTTAGAAAAGAAAAGAAAAAGAATTGGGAGATGCAAAACAAAAGTAGAAATTACTCATTGTGAAGAAATAAAAGATTATTGGTGAGGATTGAAACTTGGCAAGCAACCAAAAGAACATCATGTGAGGTTCTCTTAAGAAGAGGAGGTAGCTCTCAAAAAAACTTGCCACCCAACCCTACCTTCTTCCTCCAAATGAAACACTGCACGTGGGAAGGGGCATGGCCTCCACAAGCAAACACACAAATTTTTCAAATCAAGCCCTCCAATTTCGCCATCAAACACATGCCCAACACTGAAACGCTCCAAATCCAATGGCTCCGCCGGCCACCGGGGGGGGCCTCTTGATCTTGTGGACAGCCAATGCCAGCCGTATATTTATTGAGCCTTCCAAAGTCAATATCATTTGTTTAAGTTCATATTGTCGGAATCCGAGGCTTCTTCCAACACTGACTAGGAAATATTCTGACTTTATTACATGTCGGTTTGAAGGAGAGTTCTATTGAAAAAAATTGCCGAACCACAACTAGTCACATAAATTAGGCTAAATTTTTGTATAGGGATTATTAATTCATTTTTTCAATTATTGAGATAATAGTGATGAAAATGAAACTTTTGTTATTGAAAAAGACCTGTCCAATTGAAAACATATAATGCTAGAATGTCGGGGCAAGAAAACATTTATTGCAATAATGTCGTAATAATGTTGAATTTTATACCAACGTGTTCTTAGTTTAGTGATATTTCTCTTTCGGGTGTTAAAAAATGCGCAAAGCTCAAATCCCTTACTCATGTTGACCAAAAAGAATAGTGCAAAATTTGTTCTTATTTTTTGTCAACATGTGAGATGAAAAGTCTTTGCGAGGAGGGTTGAAGTGTGCAATATATATCTCTTATTTATTTGTTTTGTGACTAATAATATTCCATTTTCTCAGGACACGTCTGATCAGATACAACTCGTCTGGTAAATGGTGGGGGAATAAAGGGTGGAGGTGTACATCTCAACAATGCCCAATTAACCCCTTGAAAAAATGGGTGCCGCTTGATTGCCGATGCACCCATCAACGATCCCAGTCGCCTAGCTGGGTCCTTGATCAACAGTTGTGAGATGAGGTCCTTGGCCATGGCCGGCACGACGGGCTCTTTCGGAAGTTCTAGGGCTCGAGCCACAATGTTAGCTAGGGTTAGCTCATTGTCCACACCCTTAAAGGGTGTCACGCCATAAAATAGCTCAAAAATAAATATCCCTAATGTCCACCAGTCCACTGCACTGCCGTGTCCCTCACCGGACACAATCTCTGGGGCCAAGTACTCGTGGGTCCCAACGAATGACATGGACCGGACATCAACGGGCTCGGACACAAACTCGGGCCCATTTCGAAGGCCCTGCTTCTTCTTGCGCTTGCTTTTGGGGTGGAAACATGACACGGCAGGAACTATACAATTTGGAAGAATGCATGAAGATGAGGCAAATGGGGGTGGATCAAGTGAGTAGTCTTTCTGTGGTGCAGCAATTGGGGTGTTTTGAGTAGAGATGATCTGAGCCGTTGATGCAGAATTGTCGCATTTTAACGAGAGGTCAAAATCCGTAAGCATGATGTGGCCATCCGATCGAACTAACACGTTTTCGGGCTTTAGATCACGGTACACAATTCCCATCATGTGGAGGTACTCTAGAGCCACAATCACCTCTGATGCGTAGAACCTAATAAATCATGAGATAAAATAACAGTTAGTATGTTACTAATTAATCATGAACTCGCATGATTTGTTATATCATAATCCGTTGATTATGGAGCACTTAAAAAGACATAAATTATAATAAGTATCCTATAATGGTTAATACTTGTTCATTGGGGAAAATTTAATGATTAATCCTAATTTCTTTAATGAAAAAGTAATCAACTACATTATGATTGATTCCATTATAATAAAAAATAATAATAAAATACTTTTGATATTCTAACAATATCATAAGGACGGATCTTCTTTTCCTTCAACTAATATATCATGGGATTTGGTATAGGACACACACAACTAACCACATAATCTCTATTGTAACCTATACTGTAGTCTGCCAACATATAGCCAACATTTTGTTCAGTTATCTGCATTTAACTGGAATTTGGTTTGGCAATGGCAAGCAATGAAAGTTGAAACGTAGTGTCTTTTACATTGACACGCCCTGAAGTTTTTCGTGAAATTACACTAACACATCCTAACGGTTTTGTGAAAACAATTCGAAACCTCAAAGGTTTTGTGATCACAACACACGCAAATGCAGATGATAGTCAAATGCATTTGCAACTATGCCCAACTCAAGTGCTGCATAGAATTGATGTTAACTGATAGGGAAAAGCATGTGCATAATACATGTAAGTGGTTTTTGGTAGCATTTCCAAATTTGTCTAAACACATGAGAAATGGATCATCATTCAATTCCAAGGCACACAACAACTTTCTATATTCGCATATATTCATCAATTAATTGCAAACCATACAAAAATTTTCTGTCTTAGCACCAACTGACCTGACCCATACCCTTCCTATTTCATAAACGCCAAAGTCCCTAGGCACCCGTGTGTGTGAGTAAATCCCCCTCCCCCTTCGTACCTTTGACACAAAAAATATTAAAAAAAGTACACTCGCCCATCAAGACTCTTAATTTGGTTGATTGGGAGCACTTTTGGAATGGAAAAAGATGAGGAGAAGCTCATCATTTTTCTTGGTAAGAAAATAGATAATAGAGGGGGGAAAAGAAGGAAAATATATTTCACCTTTCTTCCTTACCTTTATCTTTCACTTCCTAACATTATCAAAACACATGCAAGCAATTAATTGCAATGATGTAAAAGGGCATTTGCAACCATCACCTAATGCTGCATATAACTAATTGATAGTGAAAAGCAATTGCATAATGGTGATTGATGAGATTAGCACTTTTGTGTTTGTCTCCATGTGGTTTGTGTTCTTTCCAAATTTGTCTAAGCATATGAGAAATACATCATCAATAATTGCAAGGCACACAACAAGAACTTTCCATATTCACATATTCATCAAGTAATTGCAAAGCATACAGAAATAATAATTCTATGTTCACATTGCCTCACCTACTTTGTTTGTGTATTATTTTCTTTGTAAAATGACACCTAGGAGTTGAACAACTTGGTTGCCCTTCCTATTTCCTAAATCCCAAAGTCCCCTGGCCCATGCTCTTAATTATATCATATGCTTTGGTTGGGAGTACTTTTGGAGTATGGGAAAAAGATGAAGAGAAGCTTAGCATATTCTTGGCAGGGAAATAAGGAATAAATATCTCTGGGTTACTTACTACAACAACATTTCACCTTTTACTTCTCAACCATTCCTTTTTACATTTCATTGCCAGAAAAAGCTGATTAAAGCAGGCATAGACCACTGGACTCTCAACTACAAGCCCAAAAGCAATATTTAAACAAAAAATAAAATTGGGGGCCACTATTTTGAGATGTCCTTACTTGAAGGAAAAGAACCCAGAAATTCTGCAAGGAGTTAACTGAACCCAATACTTGAATTCAGATTTTCAGGGATCTGTTTGGTCCATGAAGGGAACAAAAGCTATCCCAGAGATCAACATGAAAGAGAAATATACACCCTCATTGTCATTGCTGCTATAAAGATTATATAAATATTTTACTAAATCTCCCTCATTGATCTTATGTCATAAAAACAACAAGCATGGCTTAAAATTATGGGTCAGTCTTTAGGTATCAAAGTGATTCTGATTTTAAAATCAACGGTTGTTGCTCAACCAACTACATCTAAGTCCCTTAATAGTGAGAAGAAGACATCAAGTTTAGACCATAACCAACATTAATCATTTCATCTATTAGTTGGGCACCAGGTTATAGTGTCTTCAAACTTATAAAGGGCATTGAATTCAGGTTTATCCAAGTCTATTTGCAACTTTATGATAAATTAATTACATATAAAAACACTACTCCCTCGAATTATAGGGTCATCCTTAAATCTAAGGCCTTTTTATTGCTCAACTAACAGTAGTTATATATAATTTACCAACCACTGGTTGGTTGACCATCCAAACTTATTATACTTAATATTTTACGTACTATTTAGCTGCGATAGTATACTATTGGCACATGCTCTCGTAAATATAAAATAAGTATTCTACCACTAAAACTAAAATGTTCCTTATTGCTACACGCTCGGTAGATGTAACATATTAATTTCAACCAAAAAAAAATGTCACCTGTCAACTGATACCTTGGACTCCGAGAGAAAAAAAGGAAAAGGATAAAAGCGGAAGATGCCTTGGACTTCAACTTACTGAGCTGTTGTACGTGCATGTAATTATTGGCCTTTCAAGCACATAAGATGTGTTTTCGACCACAAAAATAATAAATATTAAAAAACAAGAACAGAAGAGTCAAAATTTCATCAAAGCTTTTAACCCATAATGAGCCACTTGGCATCTCAGGGTGGAGCTAGACTATCGTGCTTAGGTGTACTCGGCCGCAGCCGAAAACTACCCAGCCCTCTAACAATAATCCAGTGTACGTCAAGCACGCTGTAAATCTTTGCTCACTCAATCCAATCCCAAAATCTACCAAACCGCGGGTAAACGACAGTGGGCCCCACCAACCAACTGACAGGTAAACCTAGAGTGCGGGCCCAGCGAGTCAGTAAAAGCCTGAACCGTGCAAACGCATGGCATCAAACAAATCCCCTCCCTCCAATCGTTTTTTATATTTTTATTTTCAAACCAAGTGAAAAAAAATAAAATCAAAAAACAAAATTTAAAAAAGGAAATAAATGATCGTTCATTAATGCAGTCAAGAAGAAGAAGAAGAAGAGCCAGTGCTAAACGTGCGCACCTGACGGCAGGCTCGGCGAAGCGCTTGAGCGGCTGGCGCTGGCGGAGCACGTGGAGGTCGCCGCCGGGGCAGAACTCGGTGAGTAGAAAAAGCCAGTTGGGCGCATCGATACTCGCGTAGAGCGTGGGCAAAAAAGGATGGTCCAGCATTTCCAATATTTCCCTCTCTGTCCTCGCTCGCCCTTCCTTGCTCCGACTGATCAGCTCCTTCTTGTCCATCACCTTCGCCGCAAATACGCCCCCGCCCTGGCCTTGGGGCCCGCCGCCGGACTTCAACTCGGCTAAGTAGACGGAGCCGATGTCCCCGGAGCCTAGGCGGTCGGAGAATTTGAGGTCGGAGAGGGAGAGCTGCTGGGTCGGGGATTCGGATCGGATCTTGTGGATGGCTGACCAGAGAGGGTCTGAGGAGGATGCGGGTCGGTGCTTGGAGACGAGGGACGGGGGGACTATGCGCGCCGAGGAGGAGGCGGAAGCCGTGGGGGTGGATTCGGAGGCGGAGCTCGTGCTGCGCTTGGTTTCAGTGGCGGTGTTGGTGGTTGTGGTGGAGGTGAAGCTCAGACTCTGGAGGTCGTCGGCTAAGTCGTCGAGCCACGGCTCCATTGTAGAGAGAGAGAGTGGGAGGGGAGGAGTAAGAGAGGAGAGAGATTGTGGTGTGTCTGAGAGAGAGAGGGAGAGAGGGAGAGAGAGAGAGTGAGGGAGTGAGGAGGTTTTGAAGGGGATGGGGAGAGGGGATTGGTGGTTGTTGGGCTTGGGTTGGGCCTTGTGGTGGGTTTGGGTTGTTTGGGATGTTGGGGGTTGAAGGTGGGCCTTGTTTCTGTGGACAATGCCTAATCTTTTTAGATTTTTATTATCCAATAATTGAAGTCTTGGATGGTGGATGGATACAATACAATTACAATACAAACCATAAAAGAATATTATGCTATTAAAAATTCATTTAATTTTTCACAAGGCAAAAATTATTGTAATAGAATAAATATGATAATTAAAAATCAACTCTACTTTTATACATTTATACATTTAGTCAATTCATAGTGAAAATAATTTAGAATTTATCGTGAATTGATTCTGGTTGTCTGTTTTGATTAAATGAGTACGATAGATAAAGACATTTGTAATTAAATACATTGTGTTAGGGTTTTTTTTTTTTTTTTAAATTCTACAAAAAATTTAGTGGAAAAGTCCAACATGGTGCACCATGTTCATTTCTGTCTATCCCAAACAATTATTCCAATATGAAAAGAATTTCTATCGCAAAAAATTTAGTGTATAGAAACTCTTTTCATTGGCATAACTTTGATTTTTTGGCTAGAATCTTTTTCTTCTTTTAATCAATTAGAGAAGGAAATTTCAATTTAAGTCTTCTTTTCAAATTAGAAAAAAAAATATTGTTAGAGCGAGGTTAACTGGTTTTTTTGTTATTCCAAAGTTACAAGGGAGAGGAGGTTTTCTCAAAGAATTTCTATCGCAAAAAATTTAGTGTATAGAAACTCTTTTCATTGGCATAACTTTGATTTTTTGGCTAGAATCTTTTTATTCTTTTAATCAATAAGAGAAGGAAATTTCGATTTAAGTCTTCATTTCAAATTAGAAAGAAAAAATATTGTTAGAGCGAGGTTAACTGGTTTTTTTATTATTCCAAAGTTACAAGGGAGAGGAGGTTTTCTCACACATTATTTAAGTGTCATGAGTGTTAGAATTTGAGACCACTAATCTATAAATCAAGATATTTTTTCACCATATTATAACCCGTTGGCGAGGTTAACTAATTGGCTAGCAGGTTGGTGCCCTTTTACAACCCCCTCTATCACTTAAACCGCAAGAAATGCACACGTCTCTAAACAGAGAAAAGCTTCAAGAGTCAACCAAACAAAAGAAGAAAACTAGATCGAGTTTGTTTTTATGAAAAACAAAACAAAAGCCCCATGTGTTGAAGTGTGATTTGCCCATACATTTACATTCTACGAAGCACGGTGTCCAAATTATTTTGGTAAACGAAGCGACGACCGCACGAGACGTGGGGCGGGGGTGCTTCTCGAGACCGGAACTTCCTTCCTATTTAGCTTCAAAAGCTTGGATGCAACGTGCTGCGTGCATGTGCAAAAGAAAAATAGTAATTATATTGTGCAGAAAGAAGACTCTATCCATGATAGAGTTCATTATTATGCAGGGGCCAGCTCTGGGTCATTCTCTTTCTCCTTCTAAACTTTGGGTGTGCAGGTTGCCCTTCTCTGTTGTAAACTCTTATTATTTAGATCTTTTTGGATCTGTGTGCTCTCGTGGATCTAAATTAGAGGTGGATCTAGCCCTTTTTCGGCTAGGTGACTGCTCGATCGAGAATTTTCAGAAGATAAAAAAGGGTACATATGAACTTAACATATATGAAAGAGAATTTGCTAATAATATCAATAATGTAGCGATAATTGAAAATTTTAAGACTTCTAAGCTTTTCGTAGGGTAAAATTTTAGATTTAATAATGTTGTTTTGTATTGCATTGTATTTACTTATGGTTTTTATTAAGCTTTTATTTATGTATAGAGATGCATTTTAGAGTAACACTCATTACGTCCCCTAACTATGTGTATCTTTTTATTTTTATTAATGAAAATCACTTGTATCGCTGAGTTTTATAAGTAAGTTTCACCTAGCTGGCTTTCAAATCCTGAATCCGCCACTCGTCTAAGTCTTGTTAGTTGTCTTCTTTGTCGCATTAAAAAAAAAATTATGTAAGAGCCATCGCCATGGGATAACTTTTCAAAGCATATTATAATTCAAAGTGTTTGGCCTAAAGTAATATTCTCCGCACCAAATTAAATTGGTGGAAACCAAACCAATCACCAAAAGTTTATTAATTCAACTTTATTTATCATAATCTATGTTGTTGTAAGACATGCTTTGCACTATGAATAAGCCAAAGGATGTAATTTATTTTTTTTCTTTGAATAATATTTGTAAAGAGCAGGCTTTTCAAGTGTTTAAGAGATAAAGTTGTGAACTACTTTTTGTTTTTGTTTTTTTTTTTTTAAGGCAAGAGGACAAGTACTTCGTGGTTAGAAATACACTTGGGGTGACCAAAACTTTATGGTTTAACTAATTTTTTTGGTTGGTCTTCATGATTTAAGTATCTATGTTTCCATCAATGTCTCTTTCACTTTTTAACTTATTAGCAGTTTCTGCGGGCATTTGATTGGGACAAAATATTTGTTTCTAAAAGTTTATTAAATAAAATATGAAAACATAAAAATATATATATTATTTTGTCCGGCCAAGGGAGAAGAAGGTCTCTAATGTGTTAGATTCGCTCATAAACTGGTTGATCCTGAAATTATTGGACATAATTATTTGCAATATGTATTCCACTTTTATCGCCAGAATCACATAACGATAGTAACTAGGCGTGGGTGGGTCGTAATTAATTGCAATATATATTGTCTTAAAAAATCACATGTTGTACCGTATAACTCCTTTCACAACCTCTCTCTCTCTAAGACGTCTCCCTCTTCCTAGATTCCTAGATTTTCATGGCTGCCATCGCTCAACGGTCCGGCCCTAATGATAAAGTTGTATTTAATTATCTTTATTACTATTAATTTCGCTTGCTATAGAATAATCAATACTTAGATATAACTATACTTGTGTTTTGTGCAAGTTAGTTCTGTGTTGATAAAAGGGAATTCCCACAACAAATTCAATTAAACGCACTTTTCAACTTCTCCTCAACTTCTAGAGAGACCATGTTCAATATAAAGATTAAAAGAACAATACTAATAATTATTTATTAATTAATATTGACTCTACATGTATTTTTCAAGTCCAGTATTATGTATGTATAATCCATTATTGATGCGTACCAATTCTCTAGCATTTTTAAATTTGATTTCTTCGATTTGTTGATTGGTTTTGCTTTTATTTGCCTTATAATTCATTAGGTCAGATAAGGAGGGGTTGGGATTAGACCACTGGAGAGATGACAACCACGGAAATAAGAGTCTGGGAAGAGAGTGTCTCATGACCTGGGGTGGGTGAAAGGGGAAGGGGAAGATTGCACTCATTAAAGATGGGGAAGGGTAATTGATACGGTACAACATGTGATTTTTAAGATAATATAACTATGCTGATGTGGATTAATTAACCTCGTTAGATTAATCAAATGGTTAAGATTAATTTTAATAAATGCACACAAATGTACCGATGCTAAATGGAGAGACTCGATATCCCGTATAATGATAGTAACTGTAGTAATAATGCCAAAGGAAGTTTCCTCTCAACAACATTTTCAAGTTGGCAAAATATGTTGTCTTTTTTATTTTGCTCTCTCGAGTAATTCCAGAATTAGTATATACACCAAAAAGAAGGCAAACTCTAGTCGCACAAATCAACACCACAACTCGTGTAATAGTCAAACCAAGGAGCTGATTTATGTCTGAATTTACAATTCATTCCACAATTATTGTACAAACCAAACTCCAGTGACGTCTAGAAAAATTGGCATTTTTGAAGTCAGTGAGAGTTGAACTATTCCCATGGAGTTAAACTATGATCAGTTTTCTAGAACAAATTTAGCTTCAATAAGTACAAATTGTTTCTGCAAGAGTGCTTTCAAATTTCGATATTGACAATGACAGGTGAATTATAACAATGGGGTCATTTAACTGTGCTTAATCAAAACCCTAAAACCATTCAACCACCGTATCGATCTGCACATCGCCACCAAAAGTCAGTCCAAATACTCATGCCAACTTCAAAATTATGAAATTAATGACAATTAGCTACCAACAGCATCAGCATTGTGGCCATAATTGACACCATTGTTGTTTTGGTTCACAGATCCAAATAGTACGTGAAGTTGTGGACTAGCCTGGTGCTGCTAACCATTCATTGACAAAAGAGCTGGTGGGATCTAAATTGCATTAATTCTAAGTCCATATGTGATATGTCAACAAAAATAATTTGATTTTGCCGGCATGTTTCGCTTTATTCCCACACTTAGACATCAAAGTTTGTATATTTTGCATGGAATGTTGTTTGCCGACTGCCACGCATTTGAAACACAGAAAAGGATGTATCATCACATCCATTGGGATCTGTCATGGCCTTATCCCTTCGTTTTCTTTCCTATAATATTGTTGGGTCGAAGCTATTCTCATTTTGAAGGCAAAAACCAAGGTAATTAAGAAATGTCTCCTATCTAGGCCATGAACCAAACCGACCAAGCTTGTAATGATATCGCCAAACCATAAATCGACTCAACAGGGTCGGTTAGGTTAAACTCACTAGGGGTTTTTCATTTTCATTTTCATTTTTTATTTTTTTAAAACTGAAAAACTGAAAACATGTTTGGTAACATATTTTGTTTTCAATTTTTAAAACAACTTGAAAAGTGTTTTCAATTTTCAGTATTCGTTTTCATTTTCATTTATATCACCACACATCAAATGCACTCCAATTACCAAAATTTGGTATTTGAGACCTCCCAACTTGGACCCAAACCACTCAATTCTTGCATTTGGCCACTGACCCATTCCAATTGCCTTGGGACCTCCAAATCCAAAATTCACCAAAAAATACTACAAACTCTTTATAACATGCACTTTCATTCTAAATTCCATTTCCAAGTTCCACAAAAAAATGAAAACTGGGAACTGAAAAAGTTACCAAACAACTTTTTTTTCACTTTTTT